TGGCAGAATAAGGATCACACACAGTCCCAAAATACCAGTGAACACAGATTTTAATGTTTCATTGTTTTGCTGTGCAGGATAGCTGCCTCTTGGAAAAGTCAGCTTTCCCTTGGCACTATATCCAGTATTTCTAGGGCCACAGAGGAATGGGTGGAGGTTTTTAAAAAGCTCCAATTAATGCTGAATTCAGTCAGAAAAGGAGCTTGCTTCTTCATGAGGATTAAAACATCCCTCTGCCATGTCTCACTGAACCTTCTGAATGCATCAAATTATTCTGAAGGTCACATGCTGAGGACAGTGCCTCATAAAGAAACAGATTAGCCCAGAAAGTCACTGGAAAGTGTGTTTTCCCTGCCTCTGGCCATTTAAAGATGATGGTGGAAGCACCCAGAATCCCTGCCTTGGAAAACACCATTGCAAAGGTCTGTGAAAAGGAGAATGAGGCAAATTTGTCTTTAATTCTTGGTGGCAGAGAGAGCAGGCTCTAGGAGGCTGGGAGCCCCTGTCCATAGGAACAGCAGTGAGGGGATGAGCTGCAGTGAGTCTGGGGTCAGACACCCCTGAGAGAGCAGTGAAATCTGCTCCATGAACAGCTGCAGGGAAGAGGGGCAGAGGGGAAGGAAAATGTGGGAACAGCATCACCCCACTCGTGCCAGAGTGAGAACAGGCCAGAATCCCCCTGCTGAAGGTGGCTGGAAGGAGGTCAGGCAGAACACTGGGATTTGCCATTGACCTTGGTGGGATTACAACTGATCCTTAATTCAGGCAGCCATCCTTAGGGCGAGTAAGCAGTGGCTGCTGTTGTTGGGGAAGCTGGGGTAAAATAAAATGGGGTCCATTGATAGTGCTCCAAGTGCTCAATTCTGGCTCCCTGTGTGGACAGGTAGGAAGTTTGCCTTGCACCTAAAGCGTGCCAGAAGTGCCCACATGTGGAATGAGCACACAGAAACAATGTGTTGAGCAGCTCACATGTGTGTGTGCGGGCTGACTTGTGGTGACTCCAGCTGTGAGCAGAGTCCAACAGCTGCAGCAAATTGCTAAATCATCCTTGGCTAATGCTGACAGCAAATTACCTACATAGCTTTTGTGAGGTTATTGTTTGTCATAGGGACATAACAAATATAAGTCTTTACGCCTTCTGCTCTATTCCCTTGAGCTCTCTGTCATAATTTTAAAATAATATGCTATTTCTTTGGCATCTGAGCTGTTCCCCTCGTTACATAATTTTACTCTTCCCCTCTGGTAAGTCAACTCCCAGTTTCTCCAGAATGCTGAAGCTGTGACTTTGCAGATGCCAGCAGAGGCAGTGCCTGGGATATCGTCACAGGCATGAGATAGCGGCTCTCTGGGGAGATCAAAAAGAAACCAAGATGCAAAGGAATGCTGCCATAATTATCTGCAAGGAGGTTAGCTCAATGTCACTGCAGCAAATTCCCTGTGGTTCCTGAGAACTGCCTCTCACTACCAGAGAGCAGCACAGTCCCTGGGTATCTGCTAAGGAACATTAGAAACAGATTAAAAACAAAACACTTACTGCTCTTAAGTCTTCAGTGGTTCTGTTATGACAGTGTGCCATGGCAGTTTTATCTTGGATGAATATTTCTCTCTGGAAGAGCAGAGCATTTGAGGGAATTCTCCAGCTGCTAGCAAGGAAACCATTTCTCTGATACCTGTGCAGCTCTGCCTCCCCATGCTGCTGAAAGTGGCTGGGTTTGAGTTGATCTTTGCTAGGAACCTGACAGGAACACGTGGTGCTGATGGCCTAAGCTGTTCGCTGTCCCCTGATGAGTGCAGTGCCAATGGAAGTGCCTGGGCTGGAGCTGCTGGGCTCTGGTTTTGCCAGGGCTCAGTCACTCGTGCCTCTGGGAGCTGCTGGAACACATCTTGGCACATTCCCAAGCTGCTTGTGGAGTCTGCAGGTGCTGCTCAGAGCTTGGAACATTGCAGCTCCAGTTTTACCCAGATGCTAGCACCTCACCCCGTGTTTGTGTGAGCTTGCCTGCAGAAGGTCAGGCAGGACCCTGAGAGCAGCTCAGCCATCTCTTGCTCCAGGCTGTGCTGGGGACATAACACCACCTGAGAGGCACTGCTGTGCAAAGCTCTGGATCATCGGATGCATTTCCTTGGAAGCTGTGAGTGCGCTGGAGCTGCACAGCTCCTGTGCCCCTGAGAGGGCTGGGTGCCCAGAGGAGGCCAGCAGGAGCCAGCAGCTCCTCGTCCTGGGTGAGGATTGGCACGAGGGACGGCATTTGTGCCCGTGCGGATCCAGGGCTGTGCCAGGACAGGCGGGAGACAAACACCTTGGTGCTGCTGTGGGCGCCACGGAGCCTCGAGGAAAAGCCTTCCTGGTCTCTCTGCCAAGCGTGGAGCAGCCTTCTGGCTGGCATGGGTGTGCTGTGGTACCTGCAAAGCCTGCAGGACTCCCTGTCTGCACTGGGAGCTAAAGGAAAGCACACCTGAGCTTCCAGCTCCAGAAACTGGCTTGTGCACAGCGTTTGTCCCCAGATTTGTCAGCTTCTGTCCAGCCTGGGAAGTGCCAGGATGCTGCAGAGCGCTCCCAGTTTTACAAATAGGTAACAGAAATTTTCATTTGTTTCTAATATGTCCCCTCATGAGGGGCTCACGATGGGCAGCAGCTTTTTGGCTGCCAGACTGTCAGCCCAGCCACAGTCAGCATGTTTTATGTTTCTCCCTGGGCTCCTGGCCACCTGTGCCATGGCCACGTGCTGAGCTGGGCAGGATGCCCGCGGCACTGCCATCCCGACTGCTGCAATGAGCCGTGGGCTGCCAGGAGGGGATGATGCTCCTGAAGGACAGCTGGCAGCACGGTGACAAATGCTGCTGGCCCCACTGCAGGGACCCTTCCTGCACCAGTCACCAGCGTTACTTTACAGCTTCAGCTTTTGGGGGCATTTATCCAGAAGAATTGCAAATGTTGTGGCAGTGGTAGCAAATGAATATTCAGAGACAGTCTCTGGCCCTCTCAGACTGAGGAGTTTTAATGTGTTCATCCTGAGCTGTGTGGGGCTTTTCTAAGAAGGGTAAATTTGCTAGAAAATTTAGAATAACCACAACTATTTGCCCTCTGCAGTGAAGTTGGTGGGCTGGTTCTAAGTGGAAAGGACGTGGTGCTTCAGGAGAGACAGGGACCGTGCCTCTGGCCCCTCCTCAGCCAAGGGGCTGGCTCAGCACCCCTCACTGGGGAAGGAAGGTTGAGCCTGCACTGCCCTAGACTGAACAGGGACCTTTCCAAAGTGATCAGGGATATTAGGACAATGTTTGGGGGTCTCAGCACTTATGTGGATACTGAAAGAATTAAGCTTGAGGTTTCTTTTTTGTTTTTAACCCTTCAGTGAGAGTGTCCTGCTGGAAACAAAATAAGCTTGGTAGGATGGAGCCCACTCATGCACCTTGGAATCTGCAGGCTGTCCTGCTATTCCTTGGGAAGAGAGGCTGTAAAGCTGATTTTGGGGAACAGCCACAGGTCTGATGGCGAGGGAGGGAGAGGCCCACGTGGAGAGCAGACAGTGAATTTCTGCCAAGGCACCTTGGTCTTGGCCAGCCCTCTACACTAAGCTGTGTCTTGGCTGGTTCCACAGAAAAGAATGCCAAATGCAATAAGTTATGAAATTACTGGGGTTTTTTGTAGGTTGGGGTTGAATTGATGCCTTGCTTGGAAGCCAGTGGCTCTGTCTCCATTAGCACCATGCAGTAGGAGCAGATCTGCAGAGAAGCAGGGAGAGCCAGACAGATTTCAGATTTCCAACCAGCTTCTTTCTAACACCATGTGCAGGAAGTCTTACAAGGACCTTGTAGCAAATCAGGAGACCAAATATTTAATATTAAAAATGTCAACAAAACCTTTCAATTTATCAAGAATATTTCAAGGGATTTTTTTTGTCAAAACAAAGACTGCAAAAAGACCTGGCATATATTATGAGACATTCCAATGCTGTTGACGCTGTTTGGGTTTTTTGTTTCCAGTCATTTCAGCTGAAGTTTTGTTTAATTCTTCTGGAGGTCATCTGGCATTCTATTTAAACCTGTGTCATTCTTGTTGTAGTTTCAAAGAGGTTTATACATAAAATTGATCTCTTTATAACCATTTAAAAACATTATTATACCTATTTCTGCCTTTACAAGAGAAAGGAAAAAAAATCCAGTGCTGCTTGCTTAACTTTGTTGTTCTGACTGTTGTGGTGTGTGGCTGGGGAATTAGCCATGGCACGTCTGCCCTGGCTGCAGGAAACGGGGAGAGGAGGCAGCACACAGCACACGGGCATTGGGAGCTGAGGGACAATGGGAGCAGCCTGGCTGCAGTGCAGGGAGCGTGGGAGCCCTGGCCCAAAGGGGATTTTAGTGCAGTGAGCTCTGCCCTCGGAAGGCTTTGGACAGCAAACCCCACCTTTGGGGTATGGCAAGGAAAGTTTATAGCCCATGATACTGGCTGTGGAGCAGCTGGTCACTCAAACATCAGGAACAAAACAGCCATCAGCAAATAGCCATTGACAATTAAACAAATTGTAATGTGCTGTTTTGCTAGCAAAGAAATAATCCGTACATATACCTTGCTCTCCTAATCTAACTTGGCATCTTATTTTAGTCTGCCTTCAAGAACAAGAACAACACAGATTTGAAAATTTCTTTTATAGATTCCCATACCTGAAAAATCTGAATTTTTGGACAGATGAAAAACACTGCTAAAGAGGATTGAGTCTTACGGAATGTTGTCAGTGTTCATTTGGTTTTTTTTAAAGACGAAATCAGGAATGTTTTTGAGTTAGCAGGATACCAGATAGCTTTCAAGTCTCTATTCAGGTGCCTGTTTTCCACAGAGAGGCAGTGTCAGCCAGCCCGGAGTTGGTCTGGACTTTGTCTGGGCTCAGAAAAGGTGTGCATATTCTGAATTGTAAGTATGGGTATGAGGAGCAGCCCTTGGGTGGGTTCTCAGACGTCTGGGGAACCCTGTGTGACGTGCCGATTTTCCTTGTGCGTTGCAGGTTCCAGAACCTGCTGTGGTCCCGCAAGGCCTTCGTGGACAGCGTGCGGGTGTACAACCGCAGCTACATCTACATGCCGGCCTTCTCCATGCGCACGGGCACGGGGCCCTCGCTGCGCGTCTACTACACGCTGCAGGACTTCGGCGCCCGGCAGTCGGTGCTGTTCGCCAACCCCGCCTTCCTGCGCGACATCGGCCGCTTCTGGAAGGGCAAGGGCATCCACGCCAAGCGCCTCTCCACGGGGCTCTTCCTGGTCAGCGCCGCCCTGGGGCTGTGCGAGGACGTGACCATCTACGGCTTCTGGCCCTTCGCCGTGGACCTGCGCGGCGGCTCCCTCAGCCACCACTACTACGACAACGTGCTGCCCGACTCGGGCTTCCACGCCATGCCCGAGGAGTTCCTGCAGCTCTGGTTCCTGCACAAGAGCGGCGTGCTCCGCATGCAGCTGGAGCCCTGCGAGCAGCCCTCGGCCTGAGCCCGCTCTGGGACACGGGAGTTTGTCATTTCCGTGCTCTGCGGCAGGGAGCTCTGGGTTATGGTGGCTGTTTCTAAAGGGATCTGCACGGACCGTGAAAATGCTCCTTGAAGGCCAAATGGAGTATGTCCTTGTTGTTCAGTGCTTTGTGGAACTGGGAGAGGAGGAATGTATCTCTCCATCGAGTCCATTCAGCAGCGGTGGGAAAACTGTCAGAAGCAGCACGGCTGAACTTTGCAGGGACGTTTTTAAGTGACAAGTGTACAAAGGGCATTAAGGCTCAGAGAGTCACCGGGCCGCTCATAAGCTTTTGCTGACAGTGCCAAATATGACTATCTCTTCCAAATTCCATTTCATTCCAGATCAGCATCCTGTAGAACTTTCCTTTTTCCTTGCTTTTCCCCTCTGTTTGGGGGTGGGTGTGTGTGTAGGACAGCATGTGTGTGTCATTGACTCCTTGTTTCTTTTCCTTTTATTCCTTTTATTTTTGATGTGTTGCCCCCTCCCCCGAGGAAGGAAAAGGAAGGGCTTAAAAGCCCCAGGAGCTGAGCACCATCAGCTCCTCTGAAGACTCTGGGGAGAGTGAAGGTGCTGAGAATGTGGTTAGAATGTCCTAGGAATGCCTTGCTACTGGGGACAGACAGAGCTGTGTGTTGTAGGTGTGATCAGGAGGGTTCAGGTCACTGCATTACAGCTGTGCCAGTGCTGTGCTGTGGGCAAGAGCTGGTTAAGGCAAACTGCTCTGAAAGGAAGCCTGTTACAAAACCAGCTACAGGGAAGTGCAGCCTGGTTTCAGTGACCCGCTGCAAGATTTCTGCAGTGACTTTCATAGAGGGATGGTTCCTGACCTGCTTTTCTGTCCAGCCTTAGGGATTAATTCTGTATTCATTTGGACTCCAGATGTTCACGGACTGTTGAGGGTATTTGAGGGGTTCAGTGGAATGTAGAATGAGGTTCATCGTGTGCTTACAGCAGGAAAATTGCAGAAATGAATGTGTCATTTAAAATTAGTCGAAGCTTTGAGAATCATTTCTCTGCGTGTGACTTGCTCTTCTGCTTGGATTGTAACGTTAGCCTTAAAGACTTGTACTTCTCACACGAGATGGTCTCTGCTTGAGGAGAGTCTGGGAAATAAAGCAGCCTTTGGGAGCACCGAGGAGCTGGACAGCCAGCAAGGAAAGGAGAAAAGAGAAGGGCATGCCTGCTGCAGGGCAGCCCTGCTGGCAGTGGTGAATCTGTCCGTGTGCACAGTGCCTGAAGGACTGTTTTATTTTGGGTTGTTACTTGGGCAGCAGATGGTCTCTCACTGTGGAAATGAGAAATCCTTTTGTTTGTTTGCTTTGGTTTAGCACTGGAGGACAAGAGGAGAATCCCAGCTCGGTCTGCAGCACAATTTAGGCTGCGAGATGTTGCCACCATTAACTTGAAAAATCCAGATCAGTGTTCTCGTTCTTATTATCTTCTTTCTGAAAATCTAGCCAAGGTGTTGGAACAACAGAACTGTCATCAGCTTTCCACAGCAACTTCCTGTGCTGTTCTAGCCCCAAAGTTCCAGTATTTTGGGGGATGTCTCTTCTCAAGTGTTGATAAGGTCTCTCCTTGTAGACTACCAGCTGCAAGTTCTATAGATATAAATAATTTTTTTAAAAAGTGAAATCCATGGCTCCTTTTTAAATATGAGTAGTTCAATACTCTGTGTAAGCAAGTGGGGACAAAATAATAATGTTTTTCTTTTTTTTAATTATGTTTCATAATAAAAATTTTCTTTTGGAATATGGATATTCCAAGCATAAAGTGGGCACTGTTTTGTAGGATTACAGGGCAATGCTAAAGGGTAATGTGGAGATTTTGGGGTGTTCTAGCTATTGCTCCGATAGAATCTGAATGCACCTCGTAGCCCATGATATCTTTGTGCATGCTTTCATTAAAAGTACAGTCAGCACACCGATAGAACCTCACCTGATAATTCATTCTGTTTCATTAGTGCATTACCTGTGATGTGGGGACTCGGTGAGGAAGGATGTGAAAGTAAAATATTTTCCTTTCTGCTTGTTATGGCAGAATTTGACTGAGCTGCCTTTCTTGGAGACAAAAGAGGTGCCTGTATGGTTTTATTGGGTGCATCAGGTTTGCACTTGTGAGTGCTTTATAGATTCCATTATATGTGAAAACAATATTTGGAATATGATGTGCTGCAAATGGCACATCAGCAGGGTGCCAGCATTTCCTTGAGAGCAGGAGGGAGTGGGAGAGTGAGGGGGAGCTGCCTCTTGGCTGGTCATTTGTGCTGTTTTACCAGTACTTAGCAATTCACTTCTGAACCTCTCCTACAGCTCTCCAGCCCCTTGGTGATTATTTGTTCTGTGTGTTGGGGAAATAATTGCATGAGAAGAACAAGTGGTTTTGTAGGAAAACTCTGTTGAGTATTTCGTCATGTCTGGTTGTTCGTGTTCAGCCGGTGCCCTGGGTATCTGGAGATGTTGTGTTCCCCACCTGAGTAGGACTGAACCTGAGGCCTTTGCTGGTGTCTGCAGTGCTGGTGTTTGCTAGCAGACAGCTTCCAAGGAGGCACCCAGGCCGTGTGTGATGTGCAGCTGATACTGGAGACACTGCAGTTCTGGCTCTGGTCACACCTGCATGCAGTGAGTGCAGTGGCACACACAGTGCGAGGCAGCCACACGTGGAGAGGAATTTATGGCTTCAAGGGTGAGCAATTCTCTAGAACTTCCAGCAAACTGGCAGGTGAGAAACAACAAGAAATGCCCCTGTTGAGAGGCAAGATCTGGTTGAGCCTGTCAGTCCCTGGAAACGTGGGCTCAGCCTTTGCCCAGCAGTGAAAGGGGAGGCAGGGGAGCGCTGCAATCGCTCTGTGGCAGGAGCAGGGACAAGGGCAGGACCAAGGAGCTGGCAAGGCAGGAGGGGCTGTGAGCTGAGAGAATGCTGGAGTGAGGGCATCCGTGGGGAGGGTGGGCTGGCCTTGGGGGCATCCCACAGCAGGGCAGCCCACGTGTAGGAGCCCTGATATCGAATATGGCATCGCGTGGAAGGGCCTGACAATTTATCCATCTGCAGGAGGGAGGTCATTGCTTGTGTTGCTGTGTTTTTAGTGAAGTCCTTTGAAACCTTACTATTTGTTAGTGAAGTTCCCTCCTGCAGCACCTGTTTCCACTGCCAGCTCCTGAGTGTCCCTGATAGTGTGGCCAAAGCTGCACAAATCTGCCAGGTTGAAAGCCACTGCAGTTCATCTTCAATAAAATCTGGCTCAGGCTAGCCAAATGATTTGTTAATATTCATAGTTATTAATTTTATGATAGAGCTAACAAGGGACAGAAGTGCTGGAATATTGCTCTGCCTGCAGAGCAACCATTGTCCCATGTTTGTGAGGAGAATAAATTAAATACCTTTACAAGAAAGGCATGCACTGAAATCCCTCTTGATACAATCTTTTTGGGCCTGTATATGTTCTGGAGGAAATCAAGACCAATTTTTGAACTTGTGACAAAATCATGTGAAACTTTCCCTCCTTGTTGATTAGGAAGCCTCTTGGAGCTCTTCCTAGATCAGACAAGCAAAGCAGAATCCTAGAGAAGGGAGTGGGAGGTGTGCCCATGAGAATAAAAACATCTCTAATTTTGGCACAGACTTTGTTACAGTGCTAAGAACTCTTGCTCGTGAATGTGCTATTTTGATATTTTTGCTGGAATGAAGGTAACAAGTTTGGTGTGAGGCAGCTACTAAAGTCAAAGGTCTAAGCCTCTGTTACAGATGAAGTTTTACAGAATATGGAAATATTGGCTGGTTTTTTGACTTGATTACTTTCATGTTTTTGTTATTTTCCTCAAAATTAATGTTGTTTTCTAGGCAGCTGAGTTAGCCCCTCTGTGAGAGCTGAAACTATGCAAAGTATCTGCTTTCTGAAATGTAGTGTCCTGAGATGTGTCAGTTATAGCAAGCCACTCCTGGAAACAGCTTCATGAATGCTCCCCTGGTATCCAGCTCACCCTGGCCTGTAAGGAAGGTGCAAGGGAACATTTATTGAGCAGTGAGGAAATGCAGGAGGTGCCTCTCTGACTCTCCTCCAGCCTGACAGGTTAGTAAGCACTGGAAGAAGTCCAGGTTATAGGAAGGACAGGCTGTGTTTTCCTGCCACTCCCATCAAACGCAGATGTGAAATGGACTAACCAGCTGCTGTCCTGAACCATGGCCTCCTTCAGAAGCTCACATGGTGCAGTTTCCATTAGCTGACTCTTCCAGGTAAGCCAAACTCACCAGGCTTTGTCCAGAAATGCCTGTTCCCCATCTCCATGGTTGGTTGAGGAATGTTCTGGGTGCAGTGACCTCCTCTTAGTGTGGATTTGTATTTCTGCCCCAAGCCATCATCCTGAAGGCTCTCTCTTCCCTGCCCTTCCAGATGACCATTCCCTTTGGGGACTGAAGTGTGATTTTCAACATCCTGCCATAAGGCAGCTAATATGTTTTGTAGTTTGAACAAGCTTTATTTTTAAACTGTTGACAAATCCGCCAAGAGCTCCAAATAGCTCCAAATAGAAAATATGGCTTCAGCCAGGTGTTGGTAATTCCCTCACCGGAGAAGAGCAAGAGGATAGATGATAGAAGGATGTGGTTTTCAACTGTTGTGAAATAATACCTGTTACCTTGAATTCCAATATTTTGTCTCTTGGAATTTATCATATGTTTGACTTTTTTGTAGTTTCTGAACAGAACAATCAGTAAAAGATTTAAAGTTCTTTTTGTTAAATATTAACAGATTCGTTTCCCTGAGTGGAATGCCAAGACCCAACAGGAGGCTTAGCCTATCCTCCCTGGCTAATATTTTTTGGCAGCAGCGAGACCTTAAACAGCTACTCATTCCTCTCTGATTATTCATTTCCATCAGTTTTATTGCAGCAGGCTGGGCCCTGGTGTATTCAGCCTCTTCAGCTTAATGCATGTGCTTTAGAATGAATTTCACTCTGCTTTTCAGCTACGGTGGGCGGAAGAAATGTGTTGCTAATTGAAAATGCTCGGTTTGGTGCAGCCAGGAGAGAGGCACGGCCAGGTGCAGGCTGCTCTGGGCTCTCTGCAGCTGTGGCTGTGCAGGGCAGAGCAGGGCTGGGCTCTCCCCCTCTGGAAAAGGCTCTGATTGTTCCTCTGAGGCTGTGCCCAGTGCCCAGCAATGCCCCTGCCTGGGCCCAGGGCCAGGGGATGCAGCTCCAGCCCCCAGGCACGGTGAGCCCTGTCCTGATTCGCAGTCAGCAGAGCTGGCAATGGTGGGAGCTCATCCTCATCCCCATCCCTGGGGAGCCCAGGCTGCTCCCAGCAGCACCTGAGATCCCTGCAAGGCTCAGGAAGGCCCATTAATTATTGCATCTTTAATTATTGGCTCCCTCTGCTGTGGGGTCAGCTTTCTGCTCAGCTCAGTATTCACCCTGTCTGGGACCCTCTCAAGCAAGGGAACCTTTAGCAACCCGACCATGTGGAAATTACTGTGGGATTTGAGGCCTTCATCTTCCAAGTTAAACTCTTTTTTTCCCCCTTTTATGCTGGATTTAATTCCTGTGAGGGACTCCAGAGTGAGTTTAAGAAAGCAGTGCCACTAGTACTTGTTCTCTGGGTTTGTGAAGATGGTGTTCAGTAAAACACTGGAGCACCTTTTGGACAGTTCCTTCTGATTTCTAATTGTATATTCAATGAATTGTTTCAGTCAGATGGGACCCATAGCAGAGATGAGTGCATCATTTTCTGTTAATTGGAAGGAAACAATTACAGAACTATATTAACATTTCAAGCTGAATCTTACCAACAACTCAAGGAATCTTCCTTGTGCAGGAAGCTTTGCTATTGGGTGATTATCTTGATAGTAAATGAAAATTCTTCACTGAAAATAAAAGCATCATCTGGAGTACTGAGACACCAATTTGAGTCTCTACTCTGGTATCTCCAACAAAGATTTTGGTGTTCTGTAAAAGTGCCATAATCGCAACTTATTTTTTTCTTCTGTGCATGTATTCTTATAGGAAATGCTTGAAATTTTTTTATAAGCCCTCCATGTGCTGAAAGCAAACACTCCTCCATCAGGAACAGGAGTTTCTTTTTGGGTACCCATGGTGTGAAGAGTGAAAGTGCCAGGAGATGTCCAGATTTCAGGAAAATGCTGGTTTGGAATATTCTGGCAGGATTCCCTGGAGCACGTGAGTTGGCTGCTGCCTCCTGAGCTGCAGAGTTTGGGCAGATGATACAGGAAGAAAGCAAAGATATTTTAGCCATTTCAGCTCTGGCTGCTCGATGTGTCCCATTGTGGAGTGGTGCATGTTCATTCTGTGGGGCCTTGGAGGTCTCTGATCCTACAGATCCGTCCTGTGTTGGCTGAAAGCTCCAAGAGCATGGAAACGCCTGGGAATTGTCCTTTGGTGTGTTATGGTTTGGGCACTGCAGGCTCTGGCCTGTTCCAGAACGTGTACATGAAAACCATTGTGTCTGGGTGCCCAAAGCCATCTTAGCTGAGTTACCCTGATATAACTCGCGTGCAGGGGAGGGCCCTGCACGGTGGCAAAGAGTGCAGGCACACGGTGCTTTCATTGCTGTCAGAAATCTAATCCCCACTGAGGCAGCGTTGGGTTAGGGCAGCTCTCAGTGCAACTCCCCCTCCATAAGCATTTCCAATAATTGTTCCATGCACAGGCAGAAACAGCAGA